TTTTCAAGGATGACTAACAAAGATATGATGTGGCCCAAGTCTGTATCCCTAATTAACCTTCTCAGACCTAGGTTCCACCCAAAACCAGAAGGAGAGTCTGAAGGGCATAAGAAGGATGATATGGGTTCATTTTTCAAACCTGAAAGAGCGTATAAAGAAGGAAATTGGTCCACCAAAGGTGAGTCCCCAACCCAATGTTGTTCCCAAAATTTTATTCTATTACCGGAGTTAAGACCATACCTAATCCAAGGAGAGGCATCTGTAGCCCTTGCCAAAATTCCAGGTTCCCAACCATTGTCTTCAAGCCCATGTATGCTAACCACAATATGATGTAACTCTAGGTAAGCCTCTTGCTATCAAGGATCCCCACATTTCTTCCCACTCAGAAGATATGAGGAATCTGTCTACTTTGGAGCAAGTTGGGGGGGATTGAAAGTTTGACCAAGTATAATCCACCTAAAGCAAGGGGGGGTCTCTTAATTCCAGAGCATCTATTAGCCTATTGAACTTCCTCATGCTAGTAGTAAATCCCTGGTTCGGGTTGTTTGATTCCCCCAAATATCTGATGACATTAAAATCACCCCCCACACACCACGGGCCAATCCCACAATCCCCTGATAGCACATAAATCCTCCCAGAAAGCTTCTCTTTCTCTGCAAGAATTAGGGCCATACACATTTGTTAAAGCCCATTCTCTTCCGTCCGACTTTCTTTTAATTTTTAGGGAGATTGAATACTGGCCAATCAGTTCTTCACACATTCCATTTCCTCATTCCTCCATATAGTCAGAACTCCCCCTGAAGCTCCCCACGAGAATGTATATGAGCACCTCAAACCCCTGGCTCCCCAAATGCTCCTTATCCACCTATTCAGCTCTGATAATTTGATTTATTGAATCATGATCAAGTCTGGTTTTTCTTTCCTGATTAACCTTCTCTTCTTGGCACTTCCTAATCCTCTTACATTCCAACTTATTATTTTCATCTTAGTGATTTGTGACACCCCTGGGTTGGTACTTCTCAACACTCCCCTCTTCTTTTCTTCCTTTTCTCCTCCTTCTCATAATTTATTCCACTCTTAAGCTTCTCAATCTCACTAATTTTCCTTTTCCTTTGCTTACTCTTTTTTCTCAGGTAAACTTTCTTTCCTTCTGCCTTTGTACCGCCCATCCTATCTCCTTCTAACCCCTCCTTCCCCTCCTACCCATCTTCCTTTGTTCCCTCCAGGGTCTCGTTCTGGGTTTGCTTTGTCTGGGTAATGAGTGGGTTTAGGCTAGCATCAGCACAATCCAAACCTAGGGTTGGGATGAGACTTTTTGGGAGAATATTATTGAAAGGTTTGTCAAAAGGTTGGCTTCTTGGAAAAAAAGAATTACAATTCCAAAGAGGGGAGAGTGGCATTGATTAAGTCCATGTTGTCCTATATCCCAGTATAATTCTTGTCTGTTTTTAGGGCTCCCATTAATATGAAGAGAATTGAGAAGATCACGAGGAACTTCTTGCAGGATCCAGGGGAAAACAAAAGTAATCATCTTTTAAAGTGCGAGGAGGTGTGCAAATCTAAAGAGATGGGGATTAGAAATAGGAAGGATTCGAGGAAAAAAAACTTGGCTTTGTTGGAGAAGTGGTCGTGGAGGTTCCCAAGAGAAAAAAAGGCATTATGGCATTTGGTGGTCAGGAGCATCTATGGGTTGCACACTTGCACCTGAACAGTTCGGACTTGGGACTTGCTAGGAGTGCAACTTTGAGAAGCCCTTGGAGAACAATTTTGGTGTTACTGCCTACCTTCATGCCAGTGATTTAAAAGGCGCGCCTTGGCGCACAGGCGAGGCACATTTCAAGGTAACCAAGTCCTAGGCGCAGCCCTTTCAAAAGGCGCATTTCAAGGTAGGCACCTTGCGCCTCAAGCCTTCAGCCTAGGCGTGCGCCTTTTGAAACCTTGATGCTTTTTTGCTTTTTTTTGTGTCTAGCGGCTAGGCCGGGGGCTCCGACCCTGGACGCCCGAGCCACGCCCTTCGGGGCAAGCCCAAACAAGTCCACATTAGGTCTTAAATTCTTAGCTCTCACTAGGGGTGCTCATAGTTCGGTTAACCGAACCGTGGGGTTATTTTTTGAACCGGACCAACATGTCGGTTTTTTAAGTATCCGAACCAAAACTGAACCGACGAAACCGGTTAACCGGTCCACCTACAGCTCGGCTTTTTCGTTTTATTATGCACTCAAAATTTAGAAAAAAAAAAGGAAGACGAAGAGAGACCGACAAACGGACAGACTGCTTTTTCCCGTTGGGGAAGACAAAGAGAGATGAGAGACTGAGAGAGTGAGAGAGTGAGTGAGAAGTGAGAACCGAGAGAGAGTGACTAAGAGAGAGAATTGAGAAACCGTTGGTCGGTCTGGGATTTTTTCCCGTTGGGGAAGAAGAAGAGAGATGAGAGATGAGAGATGAGAGACTGAGAACTGAGAACTGAGAGTGAGAGAGAAAGGGAAAGGCATTTAGGTTAATTCGATTCAAAGAGAGGAAGATTAGAAAAGGGTATTCGATTTTAAATATATATTAGTATACTGGTCGGTTCAATTAACTACTGGTTTTTTTAAAAGGTTAACTGAAACCGAACCGGTCAGTTCGGTTAACCGATTTTTCGGTTTTTTTTTTTTGCTCACCCCTAGTTCTTACACAAAATATAATGATTTTATAGTTTTAATTGCTTTTTAAGAAGACATTTTATTAGTATGAATGAATGAACAACATTGCCAAATAGGGGGTTCTACTCCGCTCCGGTCGCTCGCTTACCAAAGTTTTGAGAACCCCCTATTTGGTAATATTGTTCATTCATTCATCCTAATAAAGTGTCTTCTTAAAAAGCAACTAAAACTATAAAATCATTATTTTTTGTGTGAGAACTAAGAATTTAAGACCTAACATGGACTTGTTTGGGCTTGCCTCGAGGGGTGTGGTACAAAGGCGGCTCGTAGAATCAGGAATCTAATATGTTTTACATCACATTAGCTACTTGAAGTAATTCAATTGAGAAAAAAAAAGAGATTGTGGGTTTTATATGCTTGAAAACGTTTTATATATTTGATTTTATTTTTAAATTCTCATTTGATATGCTTTACATGTTATATTTATGTATTTTAATATTAGATAATTAGTTTTTTAAAACATTTATTTTAAAATTAAAGTTTATATTTTTATTAATATCATGTTTAATAATTTTTTGATTTTTTGTATTTTTTGTATTTTTTTATTTTTTAGCCTTTTTTTATTTTTGCGCCTTGCTTAAAAAGGCATGCGCCTCACCTTGCGCCTTGCGCCTCAGACACAAATTGACCCCTGCACCTTTTTTGTGCCTTGTGCTTTTAAAACAAAGCTTCATGTAAAACTAAGATATGATGTGGTCTTAGGACAAGGGGTGAAATTTTGAGAAGATACTTGGTGGGGGGATTCTCTCTTGTGCCAAGCTTTTCCTAGGATCTATGGTTTGTCCAATTCTAGAAACAGACCAATTGCTAAAATGATAACCTTGGGAAGGAATGGTTTAGTTTGGGACTTGGGATTGAGAAGACCCTTGATGGGTGTTGAAACAAATGAGTTGGTTCCTCTTTTAACCCTACTTGAAGATGTTAACCTGTCCTTGTCAGGTAGTGATGAGAGAATTTGGATTCCTAATGCAAATGGTTGCTTTACTTGTGCCTCCATTGTTAAAACCTTCTTTCTTCCCCCTATGGAAAACCAACGTTTTCCTGTGAGAAAAGTGTGGTATAGCCTGATTACCCCAAAGTCAAGATTTTTTGTTGGAAGGCTGTCAACCAAATCATAACACCCTTGAAAGGCTCCAAAGGAAGTGGAAACACTGGTCTTTATCTCCTCATGTATGTGTCTTTTGCGTGAAGAGTGGGGAAAACACTAACTGTCTCTTATTACATTGCCTCCTAGGCTTCTAGGTTGTGGCAGCTTTACTTTTCTTTTTTTGGAAAAATGTGGGTGCCACTGGCTGCAGTGGTAGAAAACAGATTTGYTTGGATGTTGTACTCAAAAAGATCCTATGGCAATGTATAAGAGGGGCATTACTATGGGGTTTATGGTGTGAAAGAAATGTGAGGATTTTTCAAGAAAGTTATAAGCAGGTTGAGGAAGTGTTTGAACTCACGAAGGTGAAGGTAGCTCATTGGGCTGTGATATATGGGGAATTCAGAGGTGCATCTATTAATGATTTGCTTAGGGAGTGGCAGGTTGTTGTGGGGTTTCAGATTACAAGACAACAAAGGCTGGTTGAATGGTCCCCCCTCCTGCTGTAGAGGTGTTCAAACTCAATTTTGATGGTTACTGCCTTGGAAATCCAGAGGCTTCTGGTGTAGGAAGAGTTGTCAGAGATCGTTGTGGCAAGATAATTTTAAGTTACTAAGGTCCAGTGGGTCAAGGCAGATCATTAAGGGCTGAACTTCTGGCTTTAGTTCAAGGATTAAAGTTGTTGGCTAGGCAGGAATTGAAGAACGTGGAAGTAGAGGGTGACTATCAAGCAGTGCTAAGATAGATGAGTTATGAGTACGCAAGATAAGTCCCAATGGAAATTTGGAGCACTGGTCAGACTGGCTAAATCTCTAGGTACATCCTTGAACATCTCATTCAAGTGGATGCCAAGGAGTGCTAATGTGCTGGCTGGTTCTTTGGCTAGACCTGGGGTTGGAAAGGATTGTTTAGATTGAGGATGCCCAGGACCAGCTTGTAATCTGTACTTTGTAGTAGTTTTTGCTTTTTTACTGGTTCTAAGTCTCCTATTGGGAGATCCAAGGTTTTTTGTTTTTTTTTGATCAATAGAGATCCAAGGTTTTTCAACCTCCAGCCCGTTTTTATGTGCAGCATGGTGGTTTTCAATGAAATATATTCTGTTAATTATTACAAAATATATATTATTTATATTTCTTTGGTAGAGCAGAAAACAAAATATGCACATGATGCCTCTGCCTACAAAATGTTATCCCAATAAACAAGGAGGTTACCAGCTAGCAAATCTGCAGGAATATGATATGGCAACTTCAGAAGCTTTCCTTCATTAGCATCATACTTCAAGACAGACATCAAACCATATTCATCTCCAACATACCTGTAAATGGAAATAGAGTAAAGGGCCGTACAAATACAAGATGTTTTTCCTTCCATTTCCAGCCAATTAGTAAGAGACTAGAAAATTCTTCAATCGACAATTTTTCCAACAATGAGATTCTGTTATGTCAGTGTCATACATGAAAGGGGTGCCAGAGATCACAGAAAAGGCAGTTATATTGGTCTCCCATACCAATGAACATGCCATGTGCCTGTTTTCCAGATCCCAAACCTGCCGAACACCAAATGGTTACAAATTTGGCAGGTGAATATTACAATGATAATACAAAAAGAAACCTGCAATGATTACCAAAATTTTGGGTTTGGAAACGGTAGAGAAACCAATTGGAGCACAAAATTGATTTTCAAAAAAAAAAATATCAGTTCTATATTGCCATTGTGTTCCTTTAGAACATCTTGCTTTTCTGACCTTGAAGGATCTAATTTCATCTTCTCATGAATCTACATGTTATGGCCCTTTTAATGATCTATGTAGCAAGTACATGGGTAATAAAGAATCAAATACCTGAATGTCATTTTCATTTGTGACACTCACTATGAAACCTTGGTTGTGCAGGAACTGCCAAAAACAAATTTCATTAACATACTAAGATCATCTTCCCATAATGATAGAAAATGGGCAAGTGTAAAAATCAACTGAAATAATTCTCATTTACAAAGATACATCAGATGCATTTGCAAGCCAGATATGGAACCAAATCATAACATGCGCAAAAATTTGGTCCTCTCATTTCTGCATGGACTACCATAACTGGGAAATGATGAACTTAAGTCAAAAGTCCACTGATTTTTACAGAAGGAAATATGCATCAAGAAAAAGGTTTGTCTATGTTAGTTGCATTACAAAACCATAAAGAAAAATACATTATATAGGTCCAATATAGCTAAGTGCTCCCAGTCCCAGATGCATATTTAGAAGCCTTCAGTGCCTACTGGAAATTTAAAGCAGTTACTTTGTTGATGATATATATTTAAGTGAAATTCTAACATGCATTGCAAAAGCTTCAGCATCAGACTTCAACCCAGTGCAGACATGGTGAGGTGACACTAGCAGACAAAAGCTAACAAGCATCATACAATGTCTGCAGTTTGATCTTTGATGAAGCCTTCAGATGAACCCTCCACAATGAAAATGACAAAAAAGAATTGAAGTTAAACAAAAACAAGAAACAATTTGTAATGTAGATTCTAGAAAACTATTACACACACACCCAAACTTACAAACCTTGTGAAGGACAGTTGCTTTGGGGATATGAGAAGTCCTTCAATATTATCACCAGCAATTACAAACCTCTAAGTCTAGATTCTAGAAACCATTATACACACACCTAAACTTACAAACCTCTAAGTTTTTGAAGGGCAGCTGCTTTGGGGATATGAGAAGTCCTTCTATATTATCACCACCAATCACTTTGATCCTGCCATCCCTATAGTAGTCCAGACAAAAAAAAAAAAAGAAATAAAGTAAACTATACAGGAAAATCTAAGAAAGAAAATGTAATGAAAATTGCTTCGTTGTTCTCTGTTTATGTTATTAAACAGATGTAATCTTGCAAGCAATTTTAGACCTCAGATAGAAGGCTCATTATTTGACATTTTGAAAATACCTCACATATCAGAAAGTTTATATCACTTGATCATTAAGGTAAATCCAGATCAAGGAGATTGATGAAACAATTATAATATACCAAATCTAGTGGATTAGACAATGGTTGCTTTGTTTCTTAATATGGCATTCGGTGTAAATCAGGTGCTAGTAATTAGCAGGTCAATCCAACTCATTGATTGTAACAGCACTGCACTTGCAGTCCAATTTCGTTTAGTATATAAGAGTTTAAAGTAAGTATTTATAGAGACCATAGCTAGCTTCATTTTTATTGATCTAAAAAAAATAACTAGCTTCATTCAGATTCCAGTCAATCTACCTACACTACAAGGGATTGAAAGACAAGAACGACAAAATTCAACCAAAAAAATTACAAATCTACTTCCATTGCTCTGTCTCTTCCTATATCTGGTGGCACTATTTTTCAACTCTGGGATTAGATTGGGTCATGCCCAGATTAGTGCTGGAGGCTTGGAGCTGCTGTGGTGTTGGGAGCTTCAAGGTCTCTCAAAGCTTGCCAGTAGTGTGGATTTCTATCACAGCTGCAGTGATAAGCACCATTTGGGCAGAAAGGAATAGACGGTTGTTCCAAAATGTCTCCAAAGATTCGGATGTTTTAATTTCCTTTTCTTTTGGAAAGCTGGTCTCTTGGGCTTCAGTTGCAAAGGGACTTCAGGTCAGGGGCTCTGTTGAGGTCTAGGAGCTTAATTGAATTGTAACATTGTGTAGTGGGGGCTGATCCCTGGCCAAGGGGATTTCCTTGGGGGGCTGTAGTGCTTCTTATGCTCTTTTAATAAATTACATTACCTTTTCTCAAAAAAAAAAAAAATTACAAAATCTGATTTCACAGGGTTTCCCTAGAAGTTGACAATGAATCTCTATCTTCAACCTGGGTATCAGATCAATCTAAAATTTCATCCATACTATAGAATTGTAATCATAGTTGGATCTCTATAGTTAACAACAACTGGAGAAACAGAATAACAGTTTAACGGAGGCAATATGTGGTCCTATGTAACACGGACACTAATCGGTATCATGTCCATTCAGAAAATTCAATATTAATGTAAGTTCCATTTTCTACACCTTTTTGTGCCATATCCTTTTCAATGTTGATCATCCAAGTTTAAATTTTTCTTTTTATTTGTAACTGAAAATTTCATTAATGATAGATCATTGTGATCAGAAATATAAGAACCACCTCCCTTTCAAAAATGAAAGGGAATGGAAGAAGAAAAGGCATATCAAGTGGCAAAACCATAAAAATGGCAAAAGGGGACAATAAAGACATCAATCCCCACCCTACACTGAGGAAGACTTTCCAAATGCAAATAGTCCCTTCCTACACTCTCCCTAGAAACTGCCAGCCATTGTTTTGTTCAACCATTGTATCCATCTCCAAGGCAATAGTTTTCATATTTTAAATTTCACTAGTTTGAAGAGTCTTTAGGGGGTCTTCTATGCCTTCTGTGCCACTCAACTTTCTTGTTATATATTTTTGCTTCTTGTTGGCCTTGTAGTGGATCAACAACATTTCTGTTTATATCAATAAACGAGTTTCTTTATTGCTGATAAAAAAATATTAGTATGTGTTGTTTCTATTTTATAGGTCCTAGAGCTGGAGACTAGAGTGTTTTATAGACACCTTTAAATGTTTGTATATATTCTTGTAAATAGATGTGAATGATAATTACGATTAATATTTTTTTCTAAACAAAATACTGAAAATTGATTTTCTAAAGTTTGTAAATCTTTTCATTATTGATGCTGATAAAAAATCTTTTCATTATTGATAAAGAAAATTCTATGCTGGTAATTTAGCAAGTTGCACTAAAATGTAACTCAAAATAATTCAGTAACTTCTGCATATACCATATAGCCCATGTAGTTAATACCATGATATGCACTTGTATCAACCTCTCTGTTCTTTATTAGTAAACTTTCTCCTTCAGTTTATCAAAATAAACTAGAGCTTGCAGCTCATAGCTCAATTAGTTGACAACTTAACATACTATACTTGCAACCAAGAACCGACAGAATTGAATCTGAACAAATTTAGAAAAGAATACAAGATTGTCCAGAAACACAGGAAGAGGGTCATTGGCTCTGGTTGCAGCTTGGTCAGTGAAAAGGTTTAACCATGGTTGTACAAGTGCGATTCTAATTATTTATTAAGGCTGTTTGAAATGCCAAAGAAAAAAGGTTACTGGGGGCCTATGGTTAGCTGAGGTCCTAAATATTTGCCTGTTTTTGGAAGCAACAGAGACCAAAACTATATCTTCTTTTAGAGAGAATGATTGATGCAGCAGCATGTGCTTGGTTAGATCAGTTTGAGCCTCTTTGGAAGCACAAAAAGTATCCAGATAAATGTCCTCTGGCCTTGTTCTCAACTCGTGGGAATTTCAAGGAAGAAAAACTGGCAAAACAAGAAGTAGGGCCCACTTAAGATAAAACTCTTATTTAAGTTGTATGTGTCTTGGAATATGGTTTCAAGTCTTCTAGAAATTTACCATTCTAGTAAAATATATGGCAACTTTTGGATATGTCAATGGGTCAACTTGGAATTGGTTTCAAGTCATTTATTGTAACTCCTGAAATTGGGTATGTCAATGGACCAGTTCTTACTGTTCCAAACCATATAGTTTATAATATATAGAGGTCCCTTGGTTTTCTTGTAATTTTTTTATACTTTATGTCTAAAAGGGTAAATTTCAAAGATAGTATATAAGATAATTTTGGTTAAAAACACTTGTTTTATCAACATATAAACAGTTTATTATTTCACTGTCATTGTTATTAAGGTTATATTATCAAAAATGAAGTTCCAAGTTTGTTATTATCATAGGTAATTACTGATGTCAAGTATAACCAGGTAAGCCTGATTCTCCCGATTAATAACAATGAATTTCATTAAGATTAATAGTTGGCTCGGTTTTGGGTCTATTTTATACAACTAATCCACTTAAAACCCAACTAAGACTGACCCCCCCATACACACCCCTACAAACCTTGTATAGGTTTCTCTACCTTTTCTTTCAAACCAAACAAAGCATAAGTTTTAGTAGGATTAGTAATGAGTTATTGAATTTATTCAAGAGTCAAGAGTCCTTATTTGAGTGCTCTTTTGGCTTATCAATGGGCTTGTCATAGTTTTAAAGCAATTATAAGTTGTTCTAGGTCAACTTTTGAGTCCAAATTGGAGTCTGTAAAGGGAGACCTGAGATCCTGAGTTCTTATATTGAGCCCATAAATAGAGTCATTGTAATTGGGAAAATGAAAAGAAAAAGAAGCATTGATCCAAAGTATAAAAGTTTGATCTGGTAATTCTGGTTATTGTCAGGTATTTTTCTCTTCTCCCCTCTCTCTTATTTCTTCTTCTAAGTGATTTATCTCTTTGCTGCTTACTTTAACAGCAAGAATTCTTCTAATCCCTTGCTCATTCTTTGGTGGACCAAAGACAGAAAGGTGTCTACATAGGCACCTTTCTATGATACAGGAAGTTTGGTCCCCACCAGCACAACAGGTGAAACTGAAYTTTGATGGAAGCTCTATATGTAATCTGGGCCCATCTGGTATAGGAGGTGTTTTCAGAGACAATGAAGGCAAGATAATGGCTCTGTATTCAGGTCCAATAGGAGTTGGAGATTCCTTAAGAGCGGAAATCTTAGCACTACATCAAGGTGTAAAACTGGCCAAACAATTGGGGCTACAACAGATTGATGTAAGGGAGAGACTTTATTGGGCAGTGCTGTAATGTTTGATGTTTATTGGATCAACCTTTTCTAATAAGGGTTGACTTCTGTATTTCAGTTTAATTTATCTCTAATGAAAGTTATCGTTTCTGATAAAAAAAAAAGGTGTCTACATACTTCTCCACCTGCATTCTTCATTCTTAATCCCCCAAATCACCATCATTACAAATCCCACCATCAGATCCCACCTGCCCTACACCAATGAAGAATACTGAACATGAAAAATATGGTTCTGCAATGACATGGGAAATATTCCTCCCTTACAGTCTCATGATTACTATTAGTAGTCAAAATAGAACCAAGAAAATTTTCTTTCAACTCACAGTGTTCCAATGGCCAACAGACGCTGAATGGGGTCAAAAGCAAGAACCGATGCACTAGATGGGATTCCATAGTGCAAAGCAATATGTGGATCTAAGTCTGTTGGATTCACACTTCTGTGTTGTACATTACCCTGTGTCAAATAAAAAAACGTGTTTCAATACAGAAACATGAGAACAATAATGTAATTGTCATCATAGCCCCACATTAGCATTTTTTTTCATTATACAAAACAATAGAGCCATCTAGTGAAAGATCAATACAAAACATTAGCATTTAGAAGCGTCTCAAACATGATTATACATCAATAAAACATAAAACTATCTTATTGACAATGGTAGATTTTATTAAGAGAAACAAGAAAAGTGATTATGTAATCATTCATCCTATTTAGAAAGACAACAAAGAAAAATGCAATGCATGCATAATCAACAAGAGAACATGTCTAAAACAAGTAATATAGATAAACAAGCCTATTTTCCCTGACAAAATATTTTTGTTGGACCCATGTTCCAGGAGTAAGACCAATATCTTAGCTCTGATGGATATCCTGTGTTTAGTTGGACCCRAATATAGTACCACAACTCCCTGTCTTGTCAGAACACAATCTGTGATGACCCTACTCAAAATTTTCGGTCTAACTGGAGAAATGTAAATGCATAAGTAGATCCCCAAAAAAAACAATACAAAAAAGAGCCGAAATTCAAACAGCAGAGGCTCTTGCGAGGCTACCTCCTCGGAAAGAACATGACGAAATTATTGTCCCCTTGAAGCATTTCTTTTATCGTTCTTGTAAGTGTAACTCACTTACTAAATTGACCGTTTACTCCTTTTTCCCTTTCCTCCCCTTTATAACTTCTAAAGAGAAATTCTTAATTTTATTTGTCCGTTTTCGTTTTCTTTTAACTGGTAAAGAACAACAATCTCTCAGTTTCACAAAATAGTCGCTAACATCGTTTTTAGCGCAATGTGGGAACTAAAATGCATCCAAAAGAAAATTTCAGTCTTCTTCCATTTCGTTTTTTTAAATTGGATGGTTGTTCTGACTTCACCATTTCACTGGGTTATTGCAAGAGAAGGAATAATAGATCAATATGAAGAAAAAACCAATACAAAAATAGAAATCATGTATAAAATGCAACGCTTGTCTTTTTGAAAACCAAAAGGAAAACCAAGGATCATCACCAACAACAAAAAAGTCGCTTCATAGCCGAAGATGGTAAAATAAAATTAAATTAAATGATAAAATTTTACGAATTGCAGAAACCAATTCACACGATAACAGAGATAGAGAGTGATAACCTGACGAGGATGATGTGCCTTTTGTAATAGGCGTTTGGCGAACATGGTTGCATCTACGATCGTTCAATTGACCTGTCACTCTGTTCGACGTTTTTTACCCTTTGGTTCCTTTCTCTAGCTCGAGCTCGTTGAACTAGAGACTTGAGAGTTAAGACTTCTTCCTCGAATCCTCGTCCCACTTACGAAATGTAGTACTTCGACGACGCATCTTTATAGCGTGCTCGTCATTACAATCGACGGCGATGAGCATCTTTGATGTAATTTATTGGTGTTTTTCTGTTTTTTTTCCCCTTTTCATCAAACGATGGATAATGAAAAAGAAATGAAATGAGCCCACAGCTATTTTGGATAGAGATCGGTTTCAGTCAGGGCCACACCGTCCCAACTGCCTCTGTGGGGCGCCAATCTGACCTTTACTGTCCTGCCTACTTGTCTTACCTAACGGCATCGAGATCGGCTTTATCAGAGCAATCCTGTGCCTACGTCGTTGTAACAGCCTTTTATAATTTTGTATTGAAAATATTTCCCTATAAAATAAAACACACAAGTATAGAAATATTCTCAATGGATGACAGTAAAGGCTGTTCAAATGGACTTTGCCCTAATTGAAGTCGAATTCAATGGTATTAGGCTTATAATTGCCTTATTGGATCCTCCTACCCTACAAATAAAGGCAAAGGGTACAGTAGTACTTTGGAAGAGGGAATTTGCATTGGCGCCTAGCACATGTAGTACTGTAGAAAAGGGAATTTACATTGGCATGTTGCAACGTGCACCCTACACATGCCCCAGCACATCCCAATCATAAGAAATCGGATCTGTTCTTYACACGCACATCCTACCATGCATTGAGAACATTTCCCATACTTATAAGTTATTTTTCACAAGAGATATTTTCAATACACGGTGGATATGCCTGTGAGGCGCCCTATGTAAGGAGTATATCCTATTCCTAATTGTAGGTCCATAATAAATATGAGAAATGTTCACAATGCATTGTGAGATGTATATGTGCATGCTCTGTGGGGGGCCAATCTAACCTTTACATGAAAAAGAGGTTCTGGTGGAATTTACATTTGCACCCCACATTCACATCTAAGCGTCCGAAACATTTCCACACTTATTATTGGGAAGTGTTCTCAATACACAAGTTAGGATGTATAGTGGGGCGCCAACGTGATCTTGTTTCAGTGTTGTGTCAAACCCTATAGTCGGGACAAATGGGTTTTGTTAAATCAAATTGAAATAGATGGAGTTTTAATTTATGATATTTCTAATAGAGTTAAAACAAATCAATCCATCCCAAGCATTATTGGTCTAGGTATTCTGGTATTACATGATAAATTTATTATTTTAAATTAAATTTAAATGGATTTTAATTTTTATCAATTAGTATTTGCAATTCATGGGTTTTGTTAAACGAARTTAAAGTGGAGGTGCCTTAAGAAATTTCCATTTGAGAACCAATTCAAGTCCAACCTAAAGCTGGAAATGGGTTAGGTCTACCTAATAAAATCAAGCCAATGGAACCAATTATAGTGGCTCTTTGGTATGCTGCAGTTAATAATTAGGGTGATTGATAATTGGTTTGATTAAAATGATTACTAATCGGTTCAGGATGGATCCACCCTATCTCAAGCTTAACCCAACCCATTAACATCTGTATTCTAATCCAACTATTATTTGTGGATTAGGAATTGTTAAAGAAAAGTGTATTACTTTTAGATAGGTTTTATTAATATTTATTAATTGTTGGTTTTATTAATAATTTACTTTATACGAATTTGCATTAATTTTCATCATCTTTTATATTGACTTTAAGGTAATAAATGTAATTTGTATTATTTTAAAATGGAATTTAAATTAATAAAGTTGATTCTAATTTATTTACTGTTTAAGATATTAATTAATTAATAACTGGCCAACTTTGGGTTATTGAGTTAATTTAAAAAAAAAAAGTAATCAAATTCAGTAAGTTATGATTTATTAGTTACTTAATATTTTCTATTTTCATTTAATAAATTTATTTTTGTTAATTTTAATAAAGTTAGTGAAACTAAAGTATTTAACTTATTTCAATTAAATAACTAATTATATAACATAAGTTAAATAATTAATTAATATAATTAACAACATAAAATGTACAATACAAAGCCAACAAGGTACTCTCAAGTGACCACAACATTATCAAAAAACTGACCAAATTGTATAGCCCTGTGAAGCCGAGAAAATACCGAGTTGCACTCATTAAAAAAAGGTGAAAAATAAAACCAATAAAGTAAGGCATGGATGAAACGCACAGTCAAATCGTATTTCTGTCGTCGATCGCTGGAAGAAGCTTTCACCACCGGTGATGCCTTTTGCCTTCACTGGTTGGAGAGGATACCTGAACAGGGGATGGGTGGAGACTGAAGAGACATGGGAAAGAAGAGAACTGAAATGAAAAGGTTTCAGAAAAACACTTTGAATGAGGGATGGCTAATAGGGTTAGTGGTAAACACCTGTTTACCACCCCCACACTAATATAAAATGCGCACATGCTTATGGATGCGTGTTATTCTCTCATAATGTTGGAATAGTGTTCAAACCCATTAAGCTTTGACTAAAGCCGACCCCGCTTAAAACGATAGAGATTATATCATTTATATGTTTTAAAGTACCATCTTGGTTGCCAGTTTCTGATTTTTAAATCACATCATGAGGGCCTAAACCACGATTTTTTTTCCCCTGCAAATGCTAATATGTTAGAGAACTGTTCAATCTATGTCGGGAGCGAATTGTGAGTTGTGACCACACAATACCCTTGCATGTATGCCATTCCACTTTATTACGTCCTGTCTCAATTGGGTGTATTTTCAGTGTGAATTGTTTTCTTGTTGTAAGGTTCAAACAACAAATCAATAAGTTTTAAAACAAGTCAAATCTCAAAATAAATTATGTGAAAAAAAAAAACATGTTCTTGATTGTATCCGTGTTATTGCATTTATAAGTTTGAGGAACATGTTTAATTTCATCTAATGATCACTTATCATGTTTCATAAAATTATAATATTTCTAATTCCAAMTCTGTTTTCATCTTAAAAAATCATCATATTAACCAATAGTTTTACAAACATGAATGGTGTTTTAAAACAGAACTAGCAGGGAAGCCCTTGCTTCGTAGGGGAAAAATTTAAAAATGTCATTTAGAGATACAATTGTTTTTATGCCTAATTGAAGATACACTAATAAATCAGGTTATATTTTTAAAATAAAATAACTATAACTATATTATTATGAATAATAAACAACTACGTAGAATCAGTCTTGAACCGGTTATTTAATTGGGATCAAATCATAGACCTCATTATATTGAAATCAATAGTCAAAATAATACTAGTTTATTTTTATGTTAATAAGTTAAAACATTTTTAACTAATGTTATCTTATTTATTATTTATCAAATTTAGTATTTCAAGCATGAAACATATTAAAAATACAAGAAAGAGAAAAATTTATATATTTCATAAAATGTTTGGTTCCAAACCTGAATAAATTCTAGACAAGTAATAATGAGAATCAATCCAATAATTAATCAAGACAAAATCATGGAACCAAAACCGTTATAATTATGTTCAATCAATTTAGCTCCATCAAGATAGACCCAACCCATTGGTTCAGACAATTGTTTTTCTTAAACAAAACAAACAAATAAATAAAAGTCATGGGGAGAGAATAATTTGTTAGTAAATTATTTCCAAATAAATAAATAGATATTTGTTGAAATCTATCTCTTAATGTCACGTCTCTTTTATTCTACCGATTAATTTTATTAAATAAATAAAAATTGAAATAGATAATAGGAAAGAGAGAGATAAAGAGTTGAGAAAGAAGAAGAATGGCATTTTATTTATAGGATGTCATAATCGTCAATAATTGTATGTAACACTACTGTAACTTTTGAATGCCATTGAATCAATTATATATGGATATTTGTTTTATATGTGGCATTAATATAATTTTTGAATAGTATAAAGGCAATTATATAGGGAAATTTGTTTTATATGTAACATTCTTGTAATTTTCAGACAAAGAGAAGCGGAATAAAAGAGAGAATAAATAAGAGAAGGGAGAGAGAAACACGTGTCAATAATTTAGAGAACAAAAAACATATAAGTGCCAACTTCACAATGTTGCCATACACCTTCCCAATCCCAATGGTTTAATTAAGTATACATATAGATCAACTTATTTTTGCTTCTCCCAAAGCAAAAGCATTATGGTTGAAGAATTCCTTTAAATATTTTGGCTATGTTTAGTAACATTGCTAATTCTACCTCAAATGTTGAGGTTTGCTTTTTTTTTTTGTACAAATTGGGGAGAAATATATCATCACACCATATATAAAAGTCATTTCAACTAAAGAAGTGCATATGTAGAACTGATCATTGGTAAAAAAAAAAGATCATTGGTGTTTCAAGTAAAAATTAAAGAGCAATCTGTATTAATCAACCCACCACGTCTCATGTTAAAGATTCAGCAAATGCATCAGAATTTAAATACTTGAAAGTACATATGAAAAAGAAAAAAAAAAAGATAAAGATAAAGAGAAAGAGTGAAAAGGAAAAGGAAAAGAGAAGAATGGAACAAAGAAAAATGGGAAAAAAATATAATAGAAGCTAAACTTTATTCTATGTATTCAAGGCGAGTAAATGTTATTTGTCTAGTTGTCTAACGAAACGAGTGGTGGTTCGATTGTCACGTAACTGGGTAAAGTCCCAGATGGAATGCGGTTTCAAACCTACCATTAATGGCTCTAAATTCACTTTTGAAAATTAAATTACGGCTTTATCGGGGGCGAAAGGCGAGTAATCAAGACCAAAAAAAAAAGTTGTCTACCATAGCTAATGTTATTTTTTTTCTCCCACAGGCTTACTAACTGGAACCTTAACAAAATAACAATGAGAGAAAGGAGATATTATATCACTTGATTTCAAAGTAACTAGCTTTGTTTAATACTTGACAATTGTAGCTGACTTTTGGGTTCAATAGAAGTGTTAATACATTTTGATTTTGCTTTATTTGACGGGTCATGTTGTTGTAAATAGACATTTATTTGTTGCATATACTTTGAATTCAATTTCTGGTGCATTCATTATTATTGGATACATACGTAAAATCTAGATCTCAACTGATCATATTATTTTTTGTTAATTTAAATTCCATATATTGTACTTATGTACAAATTTGTAGAGTATGAAATCAGTATTTTGTATGTATTTGCATTTATTTGTACTCTTTCTAAACAGAGCCTACACATTTAACCAGATGTATTTATCATTACATTCAATCAATTAAGTTTTTTGCAACACAATACAATAAATGCACCATCAACTTTGCCATCCATTTGTCGCTTTTGTGATTTCTCTCTATATGGATACCCGTGTGGTTACTATTTGGTATTGGGAACATATCATGGTTTTTAAAAATGATTCGGAGACTGAATCGGTCAGGGGTTTAGTTATCGGGTTGAATGGTCCGACCATTTGCATTGAACGGTCAACCCATTCTAACAAAAAAATAGTCAAAACAGTTTGAACGATTAACCTTCCAGGTCAGCGGTTTACTGACCAAAATCAATAGTTTTAGACAATTTTTCAATTTTGGAGAAAACCAAAACCGGTCACCTGACCGGTTCCCGGTTGGTCTGATTTTGAAAACCATAGAGCACATATCAAAATCCATAACCCCCCTCCCCCTTTATTCTGCTTTTATCTGTAACTGATGAACAAGGATAATGAATTCATTATGTAGGCCCCAAATGGGATTAGACTGAACAAAACCCAAGCATCTTGAATGCCGAATCATGATTACTTCATCACAACTTCCACTTGTCCATTTTCATTTGATAAATGCAAACCCATCAATTTAAAATCTTATTCACTTGGACCCCACAACTGACAGCCCAAAATTCGTGATAGAAACAAACAAGCAAACATTTTTCTTTTCTTTTTTTTCTTTCCCTTTTTTTATTGATATCAATTGATTGCCCAAGAGTTGAAAATCCACTTGGATGATCATATACATGTTATTTTATAACAACATTAAATTTGAAAATTTGGATTTCAAACCGAGGGGTCCAAATTGATGGGCATGACCTAAGGCTAATTATAATATTATTAATATCCTTAGATTAATTAGTGGTTTTGTGGCTTTATTCATTTATTGGGTTTAGACTTTTTAAATACTTTAAACCCGAGCTTACAAAAAGAAACGAAATGTGAGAGAATAAGTTAATAGTTACATCCTTATATATTTAATGTGAATACTTTTAAAATGAAATATAATAGAGAACATCAATCAGCTCTGAATAGACTTGTTCATAGCCGGGCTTTACACTGTTTTAGGTTTGGGCTTTATGATGGATCCATTAAAATTTTGGCAAAAGTCAAGCCTAGGGTCTAGCCATGAATCTCCACCTATTTTACATTGTATCGGCCTTTTGAGTTTACATTGTATTTGGCTTTCTAGTGTTAGCGTGCCATGTGGCGATCCCATAATTGTTGCATAACACCTTGACATCATGTAGGTAATGATTTGTCTTAACCAAAATAACAGGGACCTACTYAGAACCACATTGGATGCACCTCACACACTTGGTCACCACCTCACCATGGCCGATTTGTAGACACTTCATTAGGATCGGGATGGCCACCTTAGGATCAAGCTTGAGACCTCGACACGAAGGGAGACCTCCCATCGAGGTCTCATCGACCAGACTGAGGTCCAGGTAGCAACCTGGATGATGTGGAGGCCAACTTGCCTACACTTCTRTCAACCTACTTTCGTTGGCTTGATAGAGGCCCAGTTTGCAACCTACCTCCGCCGACCTGACCGAGACTTAGCTAGCGACCTATCTCCACCAACCTAACGGCGTAAGATCTCGATAGGACTAGGTCGGCAAAAGAGGCAACCTACCTTCGCCGACTTGATGAAGACTTAGGTGGCAACCTCATCATGATCAAGCTAGGGACCTCGACATTAGGGGTGATCTCCCTCGAGACCTTGCCGACTTAACCGAAACCCAGTTGGTGACATGTCTGACACGTTGGGCGACCTCCTCCTTAAGCGGGTTATCATCTTTGACTTTTTCACAATTACGATGCCACATTGAAAGAACCAATTATCACTTTGTCTGCTTCGGGTGTGACTGGATAAACATTACCCGCTTATGCAGAGTCCACCTCGAGATGTAAAACTACCTCCAAATCAAATGGGCTGAAAATCTCAAACAGATTTCGTGAGCCTTACRGCAGCTTACTTATACAAAGATATCCCCTTCGCCCTTCCTCATAAAAGGTAAGCGCGATAGCAGATCGCTTACCATCAGGATTCAGCAGTCTGTATTGTCAAAACTCAAAAGAAAACAAACTGCTTATGTTTGTGGGGCGCAATGTGGTCTCGCTCATGCTTGGTCATCTAAAATATTTGAAAACAAGGGTGGGTATCATATCATTCCCTTATTCTTCGTCACATGAATGAATGTATGAAGTGTTCAAAATAGCAAAAAGCCATTCACTAAAGGTCTGAAAGCTACCAATTTCAAAGCTCCACAGGAGCCAGCCAGAGCATATAACAATTCTTGAAATGAAATCAGATCTGCTATGGTAAGGGTGTGGTCCCGGAGGCCTGAGACTAGAATTCCTTTGTTAAAGTATATCACGTCTCTAATCTAATCACTATTGTTCACTTCTGTGTAAATTATAGGGAGTATTAGGGTGGTATTAGTAATTAGCTCACCTGTCAAGTGTCAGCCAAAAGGGGCACGACTCCCCTCACAACCGGCGCCCGGGGAGCCTGGGATACTGTGCTCCTGAAACCTATGCATTACTGAACCAACCCCAAAAAGCTAAATTAAACAAAACCAAAACCAAAACCATTGGATTTGTGGAGCACGGCCCACGGCCCACGGCCCACTGGTGTTGTCAGCAGCTTTCCAATTCCAAGTTCCAACTGCTTCTGCTTCGAGATATTCCGTTTCCGCTTCTGACTAAAAACGCTCCGACAAAAGCTGCTCCATTCCTCCCCTCTTCCTATTTTTATTTTTATTGGTTCACATTTTACCTCTTTTCCCCCCTCTTCTCTTTTTTGTAATCTTGCTACTGCACTGCAGATGGTATCGTGAGAGAATCAGACTACGCAGTACATTTTTAAACCATTGGATTCGATCGTCTGATATTCAATCGAAACACATCTGGTGATTGATTTCATTACCTAGTGGCTAATTGTGTTTGGAAATGGGACCCACTCCTTTCTAACCTGCACGGCTTCCTCTGTGTGTTCGTTGATCGATAATCTATTTGTAATTTGATTACCTCTAGGCTCTAGTCAGTCGTCATTCTATCAGTATCAAGACTTCTCGATTCAATAGAGTTGCCCTACGTGAGATGCTGCTACTTAACCGTTGGATTGGTGCCAATGAAAAGCGATTTGCCGAAACCAGAAAGATCAGGACATCAGTCATGTACGAATCCGTTGCGTCGGATCAAAATCTTCCTCACGCACGACACATGTATTTCTTATTTTCTTTCGTTCGCTTAAATACGGGAAGACAACGCTGAACCTGAAAGCCATATTTCTCTGGTGTGGTTTGTCGATTGTCGCCCGCAATGGCATCATCCACTCACAAGCACCAACCTCTGCCAACCTTGCACGGCGTAACCGCAGCTCCGCCACCAACACCATCAACGCAGCCCAACCGACTCTCCTCCTCCGACGCCGCCGACGCTCTCTCACGTTTACTTCACCGCCTTCCACCCACCCTCTCTCTCCCTTCTCGTCTCTCCCCACCCACAATCTCACCTCCTGTCATATCCATCTCTGAGCAAAACCTTAACCTCCGTGAAGACCTCCTCTCATCCTCCTCGGAACTCGGTTTCTTCCAGCTCACCAACCATTCCATCCCCTCCCAACTCGCTCAATCAGCCGAGCTCGAGTCGCTTTCTCTCTTCGACCTTCCTCACGACAAGAAGCAACAGTCCTTTCCCAAAAACTGGCCCGCCGGCTTCGATGACGAAGAAGAGGACGGAGATCGGAGCGGTGGCGAATCGTTCTGCTTTGACGTGCACTCTTGTACCGAGTCAACTGAGTGCCCCTTGTCATCTTTGATGGAGTTCGCTCGTGCTCTGGAGAAGGTAGGTTTCGAGATCGTTGAGGGGCTATCACGCGCCATGGGTTTTGAGAACCCCTTGGGGAACGACGGCACTCGTTCATGCTCGTTGATGTGGGTTGCCGAAGGTGTCGCTGGTAAAAAACCGGTCTTTTCGGGCCGGTTTTATCCGTATGTAATCGCATTGCAGTATCAGATCAGGTGTCGGAAATATTCGATGCTGGCCGATTCCGGTTGGGTGACCGTATCGCCACTAGTCGACTCTGTCCTGGTTACCATCGGGGACATCGCTCAGGTGACTTTCCTTGCTTTCAACCTTTTGTTTTTAATCTGTCTTCTGAAGTGGCGGCGAGGCGAGTCGGCCGATTCCACTCGGTTCAGCATTAGCTTAGCCGGTAGTCAGTAGAAGGCTTCTAACGGGCTGGGCCGGCTGGCAGAAAACGTCGGGCTCAAGAGTCAAGATAATACCATCTCAAACCGGCCGAGAAATCCGCCAAGGTGTGGGCCTCCGGTCCAGTCCAGTACATTGAGTACTTGGGTTTTGGTGGATCTGACACGCCATATAAGGATCCTTACAAGCACACGTAAACATAGAATAAAATAGCAAATTTCCCAATACCATAAAATAAATTGATAAGCCACTTCACAATATTTTATTTTATTTCCACGGCAATGTGGCCCACTAAAATGAAGTGGGGTATGGTGTGCTTTGATATTGCCAACCACGACAGATGACATCATGAGTTGGGATACGGTGAGAGATTTAGAGAATAGAAGGCAGTTCTTGTGAACCGTCGGATTTATTGACGAAGTTACGTTAATGAATTCCAAGTTCCACCTGGAGGAGGATTGTAAAGGAGCCGAAATGTGCGAGCAGGAGGAGCAGCCTTTGAAAATTATTTAGCGTGAATTATGGGTATGGGAGATTTGCATATGGCCACTATTCCTCTCTAGTGCAGTGACTCGGGATCCAATCCCTGAATCCCGCCTTCACCGGGGTTGGGGGGTCTAACGGTCTTGGTCTCAGACGCTTCCGAGTTCCAACCGGAGGGATGATACATCCATCCTCCGGTAGCAAGCGAGTTGAATTGCCGTAATTAATTAATTACCAAGTAATGGTGGGTCGGTTGGTAAGGCCTGCGCTGCGGGGCATGGGTATGGGCCTATGTATATATCCATAGGGAATAGGGAGTTGTCTGGCATGAGTATTATTTGGTTAAAACTGAAAATTTGAATAGAAAATTTTAGTTTTAATTAAAAATTCAATTAGTCAAAAGAATCAAATTAATTGAATTTCAATATATGTATGTATATATATATATATATAGATAATAAAAAAACCAAATTAAAAATTTTGATTCAATTATTTCAGTTGAGCTTATTTTATTTGGCTTTCTGTTCAGTTTTTCCTCCCTACCCGTAGCCCCTAGCCCCCATTGTGTAGCCATAGGCAGTGGCCTGGCCCATGAAGGAAAAACTGCCAAAATTAATTAAAATTAGTAAATGATAAGTTAGTTAGTCAAAGTAAGGGGCTGTTTGAGCTGAGCTGATTTAGTCAAAGCTTTTCCAGATTGCCCGATCGAACCGGTTGAATTGCGGCTTGATTCCTTGGACAGTTTGGTCATACCCCAAACCGAAATGTGTAAAAAATCAGTCAAAACTGTTGATCTGGATGGTTCAACTGGAAAACCAGTGAACCAGTCGGTTTCTTTCAATTTTTTAAAACATAAATGCAAGCTAAGGCCATAATTTTGCATTATGTTGTTCATTGAGTTGATTTTTTTTAGGGTAAATATAATGACAACGTGTCAATGCCTTGCTCCATTATTTTAATATTTTTGCCAAAAAAATGCCAAATCCATTTTTTTTTTCTTTTTCTTTTTCTTATGTTGTTTGCTTTTCTACTAACATGTTGATTTTGGCAACGGATGGACGAACGGCCGAAAGGTATGGAGCAATGGGAAGTTGAAGAAAGTAAGAGGGAGAGCAGCGGCGAATTCAGGGAATGGAGACAAGTCGGGTTGCGTAACGATGTCGCTGCTGGTGACTCAACCAATGGACAGCACTGTATCTCCCCTCCTTCCGTCGGTGGTAGCTAGAGAAGAAGCTGGTGGTGATGGTGAAGACGATGACAACGACAACAGCAGCAGCAAGGGAGAGTGTGAGAACAAGGAGAAGGAGGACGGTGGTGATGGCAAGGCCAAGGGAGAAGAAGATAAAGATGAGAAGAGGGTGTTCTGCTCGTTTCGTTTCGAGGATTACGCATGGAGAGTTTATCACGAAAGGTTACTCTTCAAGGATCCTCTGGACAGATACCGCATCTAAATATCGGGTATATATGCACGAAGGAAATCTTAATTTGGATGCTGCTGCTGCTTCTGCTTGTCCCTGTGGCAATTAATGCTTATATAATGCATTAATTCTTTGACACTTGAACACTCTTGTTCTGGTATTACTGCTACAGACCTCGCGGCGTAGGAGGCCCAGACAGACAACCCTTATTGCCGTGAAAATTCTTGAGAGGAGGACGGATTAATGGCGATTCACTTTTTTAATTTTCAATTCCCTTTCTTCTCTGATCATTTACTGTTATTGGACTTGCACACTCACCTTTTACTTTTTTTCTTTTAGTTGTTGTATTTCTCTACTTACCTCCGACTCCGAGATAAATGAGCGAGGGCCGATGGGTTTCATGTACTTTTGGTTTGAGCCTCTGATCTCGTCACATGGATATCAGGATGTCGTCTTATTCGTGCTTGCATGAAAACGTGGGTCCGAGTTGGGTGTCCTGCTGGCTKCTGGTGGGTTGGTCTTTTATAATATAAATCAATCAAAAACTGGGAACACAAGGTACACTACACTCCACAAACACAAAACTAGGCTTCCTCGTTACAGACAAATTTAGGCTTTGCAGAATCCCAAGATGGGCATGGGCCCAGCGTGCTTAATGTCCTTTCATTTTTTACTTTACACATTTCCATCAGCGCGCATTACAGTCGTGCCATGTGACGTGTCAGAATACTGATAATTCACATCTGACACGTCAGCGAAAAATTTCAATTATTACCCTATACTTTGGGCATAATGCTCACTCTGATCTCCACACTTTAAAAATAAAAATGAGATAATTCAATATCTAAACTTTGGAAACGAGTAAATCTAGTACCGACAAAAATATTTTTCAGAAGTCATCTAATTTTCTTTATATAAAAAAATTAACAATCCCAAATTTTTGTCTCTTTTATTTAATAAGATTGGGGTCACGTTTTAATAGCTGGTGATTCCAACTTTTTTGAATAGAAGAAGTAAAGATTTGAGATTGTTAATTTTTTATCGATCTTTAGATGGTTGATCAAGAAAATTAGATGACACTTGAAGGGYATTTGTGTCTTTTTAAATACTTCTTAACGGTTGATTAATGGTATGTATTGGATTGACACATTTTGAAAATTTAAATATTAAATTATTGCATTTTAAAGTTCAAAAACCAAAATGACATTAAACCCAAAATACATAGTACCAATTGGGAATTTTCCCATAAATAAATAAAGTCTCATAAGTCATCACCAGAGCAAAATGAGAAAAAAAAAGTACCATGCACTACTTTCTGTATTTCGGAAAATGAAATCGAAGAGGGGATACAGAAAATCCACATGACACATGCGGGAGACTTGAGCCAATTCTGTACGTATAGGAACTTTTTAACACCGGATCTACAATCCAGAATACTGATTTTAAATCCAACAATGGGCATATAGAATTGAAAGCATATATTAACTACCAGTATGGGAATGGAATGTTTTGGCCAACAATGTTTTTTTTTTTTTTTTCTGCTTAGCATCTGATGGCATAAGAATTTGGTCTTCAATGAGAACAGTCACCACGAGCACCAAGGAGGGAAGAAGACAATTGGGCTATGATATTGAAAGTTCTCTTTCAAGTTTCAAATCCCAGCAAAAAATTCTTTGTAAATATCTAAGAGACGTCTGAGAGCATCCAATAGTGAAAGTTGCATTATACTGTAGATATAAATTTCACGTTAAATTTGGAGCACAAAAAATAATAAAGATAAATTTAAAGAAATTTAATTAATTTTTTTAAATATAAGTGAGATACAAATTAATTTTTGGGGAAAAAAACCCTTTGATTCTCTTGTTGCAAATATGACTCAAACTCATATTTATAGCTTGTCACAGATACGATCTGAAAAACTTGACAACTTATTGTAGAAAGAACTTGCAATGATCAATTGTAAGTATATAAAACTTTTGTTCACAACTAATTGTTGATTTRAGTGCAAATTGCAACGCTAACCTTTAGTTGTAGGAGATCCTTCAATTGTGGTGTTTTGATGAAAGCTTTCTTGTGATAATAGTTTGATGACTTGAATTTTTGAGTTAAAAGTTGCAACAATTTAATTGTAAGCATCTTGATTGACCGATTTCAAGATGATAGCTGCAACAACTTGGAATAGGAATAGTTGATTCAATGAGCCTTCTTCTTCTTCTTGCAAGAAATGTTTATAATAAGGAGCTGAAGGAGAAACTCCAAGGGGGAGAGCCTTCTTCTACTCTCTTTAATTTAATTTATAGTGTTTTCCTTGTTAAGTGAATCCACCAATACATTCAAATTAATTTGAATTTTCATTATTAAGTCAAACCAACCATTCTTGCCATTTATTTGGCCAGGTTGATTGACATGGGACCTATCCCCAACATGCCTTAAAGTGGGTTTGACTAAAATCCCAACAATTGGGATCAAGTGCCATTTGGCAAAGGGATTGGACCCACGTATCATTCAGTCCATTAATCAGCCATTATTTTCTTCTATATTAAATCAAATTAAGCCCGCCCATATCAAATTCTAGTTGCCTTTTAATTGGGATCTACCGAATCATAATTAAAATTTTGGCAATCCGTCATTCAGTGACAAGTTCCAATTTGTAATTTTCTTTCCAATTTGTCAATTTGATCTCCTTCCTCTTAGTGGGCCCAACAACCCTTTTCGATTTTATTTCATGTTGGGCAAAAAAATTATATACCAACATATACACGGTAAAATTTCGCCTGAAAAGCATAAACAATATATCTAACTTCCAATTTTGGATTGCAGCTTCACTAGATCATACGTGGAAACTCCAAATGATTGACAACACTGAATTCACTTCTCCAGCTGATCACACAGGTTGCAGTATCATGTACGCTGATCATCTAATAACACCTTAACAAATCCTACATGCAACAATAACAAACAACTGAATTACCAGTAGCCATGTCTATAATCAAGCAGTAGTCAATATCTCTGAAGAAAAGTTAAAAAAGTGACTTTTGTGTCTAGGGTAGGGCGACAGGATGGAAATTTTAAGTTGAGGACTGGGGAACTTACAAGTCACAACTTGCCAAATGGTACATACTTAAAAGGAACAAAACCCACCATTAGTGGAGTTCTACCTTACAGTGTTTATATCGAAGTTTAGCATGATCAAGGCTGTGGGCACCAACCAGTTTACTGGTTCTGTGGCCCCAGACCTAGGAATGGCAACAGGACGGAGAGCCACACCCCATCCTGGCCAACGGGAGAGAGATTTCTCCATTTCCCACCATTTGTATTGTGTCAAAATTCACTTTATTCTTATTTATTTCATTCCAAAAGAATTCAAAATAAAATAGTTACAATTTATAATCCTACCAAAATAGGTCCAAGTATATTCAAAGTTCAAATACATTCTAACAGATTTAACCATATTTTAAAAAAATATCAACACAAATTCATAAAAAAAAAACACAAATACTCAACATAAATCCCACGTTTTGGGCCTCAAGGCCTTAAACCCACTTATTAAAAACCTAAATATCTATGGGTTGAAATTATATACAGTGTTCTACACAAAAAAAAACAAATAAATTATATACATAGTGGGGATCCCCACAAGGCGAGGAATGCTCTCCCCATCCCCACCCCATCTCTGCGAATGGGAATGAAACTTTCCCCATCCCCGTCCCCATGGGGGAAAAATCATCGCCATCCCCACCCCATTTGGGGCGGATCTCCACAGGAATTGGGGATATGGGGAAAATTGCCATACCTACCCAGACTTAAGTATAAAACATGCATTACTGGGGTTTTCATTGTCTCACAAGTAAAAATATGAGAAAGAACAAAGTAGCAATTAAGCACGAAGTAGTACCATTATCTTGATTCTAAATCCGGCTTATATCACGACCAAATATAAATGTGGTAGCCCAATTGATTGCCACATAAAACCTATTCCTCCAGCTTACCACCCGAGTGAGATATGCTGATCTCCAAATAAACCAACTAATAAATCCTGCAAGAGACAACCCTTTTGCCTCCTGAGGAAGCAGTGTTCTATTTGTCAACCATCCAGTTCAATAATATATAACATAAAGGGATGCGTCTTACAAGAATCTGACCTTACTCTGCCTGAGGTCCACAAGAGCCTTGTATCTGCCAATAGAAGCCATGCTTCCCAAATGCTTATAAACAAATTGGTCCCCTAATTCTATGTCCCTTGCACCATTTGCATGTCCTCCACCAGCTTTACCAATCCTGTTCAATAGATCTGCTAGATATTTTCCTTGCCGCTCAGCAACCTGGTTCAAACACTTTGTTAGGAGAACTAGTAAAACCTTCTCTTACAACTACTATAAAGAATTCTCATGAAACTTCATGAGAATTCAGTATCTTTTCTTGGCTTATGACCCATAAGCAACTCTTCAGACATTGACTTACAAGTACATAAAGCCTTACTTCACTGCATGCTCAATGACTTGCAAAATTCATCATGTATGGTATCTAAACTACATAGAATCATGTTGCAAGTATAGACTATAGAGACACCATTTTATCATCTCTGTAGAAAATGGCATGACATGGACAAGACAACTACAAAAATTAAAGGACCAACCTGAAAGTAAGTTAATATGTTTCTGGGGGATTGCCAAACGGTTATCTCTTGGCTGAAGAAGAGAGAAGATCCTCCTTGGAGGGTGAGGCCGCTGGTCAGACAGGCACTGTTTCCGGGGGATTCCCTGAATACCTCGTTTATGTGGACTCCCAAAAGTGCCAATTATTTGGCTGACTTGCTGGCTAGACTGGGTGTGTCCAAGGATTGTCTGGAGAGGGGTTGCCCAGGACCAGGCTGTAATCTGTAATTTTTTGCCTTACTGTTTATGTTTCTCTTCTACTTCTTCTCTTAAGAAGCAGCTGTGTTTGTTGAGGCTTGCCTTTTGCAGCCAGTTTTGTTGTATCTTGGTTCTTTCAGTTTATCTTTAATGAAAATTTTTTGTTACTTATCGAAAAAGAAAAAAAAGTTTAAGTTAATATGTTTTCTGGTTCAAAAGAAATGGTTTGGGCATGTGCAGAGAAGACTATATACAGTACCCATAAGAAGTGACTTGTTACAAGTTGAAAGGGCTAGAAGATCTAGGAGCAGACTAAAAAGGACATGGGTTGAGGTAGTGAGGAATGATTTAAGGGCCCATAATTTAACAAAGGACATGACACTGAATAAAACAGTATAGCATAACAGGATTCATGTAGCCAACCCCTTATAGTTGGGACAAAGCTTAGATGGTGATGTGATGATGGTTCTAAAGAGATCTGAATGTACAAAGCTTAATTTCCAAACCATCTATGAGTAGAGGTATAGAGAGAAAAATAGCTCTGTTACATACATCTGTTTAGTTCCTTATTTGGGCAGTAAGATGAAAAAAAAAACCTCATCAGACATCAGGAAAATGTTTGCTCACCAGTTGGTGGTGCTTCTCCTTTGAAGTCATAGACCCTTCTGTTGCTTCTGTAGAGCAATAATTAGGGCTGTTATATTGCTGTTATTTTATTTATTGTGGTCCCCACTGCTGCTGTTAGTTAGTTTCCACTTTATATTTGTTGTTAGGCTGCTGCTAGCAATGTTAATTTTATTAGTTATTTGCTTGTGTAAGCAATAGGGGCATTAGTGTAATTGCAATCTTATATTTTGGTGTTATTATAAATAGCTGAGTGGGGCGGCAACTAAAGCCGTCACTCTTTCTCTCATCTTTCTCTTCTCTCTTCTTTCTTTCTTTCTTCTTCTTTTCTTCTCTGGTTTTTTTTTTCATTAAATTACATCAAGAATTGGACTTATTACAGTCCTGATTTGCCAACTTGGTATCAGTGCCAATCTAGGGTTTCTCATGTGTGTTGTGTCTAATCCAGCTGACCACATGAGAACTTCCTAGGGCTGGAAGCTAGAAAGATCTATCCATCCGCTGATTCTTGGAGGTTACGAGAAGGGTTTAGCAGTTGCCCAAGGGCTTGTAGAGGCTTGGAGAATGTTTGGTAATCAGGAAGAATCAGAGAAGATTAAAAAAGATTAAGATTAGGGTTCAGACTAAGATTGGAAGTGGCGATCAAAAGTTTCTATCTTTCCTTGAGGTCGGCACCAGTCAGAGATAGATTGGACCTATCTAGAAGGAGTGGCTGAGCTTTCCTCTATTTTCTCATAGGTTTCTCTAGGGTTTGTTCTTAACCCTACGATCAGACCCAACTGTGACCTATTTAGAAGGTGCGGTTGAGAATTGTTTCTGTTCTCACAAAGTTTTCTCTAGGGTTTTTCTTAACCCTACGATCAGACCCGACTATTAACACCTTTTGGGTGATTCCTAAATCAGTTTCAGCTTCCAAACCTACTTATCTTGGGTGAGAACTTTTTTTTT